TATATCCCTGGGGGGCAGGCCCGGGGCCCACATACAGCTGCCCCGACCCCCCCCATGGGGGGACGGCGGGGCGGCCGGGGAGGTCCAAAATAGTCCAGGAGGGCCTCCAGAGGCTCCCCAGACGGCCCAAGCGGGCCCAGAGTCGCCGAAAGACCGCTCCTGGACGCCCAAGATAAGCTCAAGACGGCCCGAGAAACCCCCCCAAGGCACTCCACGACGCTTCAAGACGCCTTTCCCGAGCGCTTCAGGAGACCAAATCGTCAATTTTACAAAAGGTTTTGGAGAGATTTCGGCCTTCCAGCCTTTTCGGCTGTCCGACGTTCCAGGCCGGCTCCATAGGCCCCCAAGAGCGCCCCAAGACGGCCCAAGAGGGCCCCCAGATGGCCCCAGAGGCGCCCCAGAGAGCCCCAAGACGGCCCCAAGATGCGCCCAAGAGGGGGACCACGACTCCAATATTCGACCCTCCCGCTTGAAGAGTGCCCCAGGAGGCCCCAAGGAGCCCCCCCAGGAAGCCCCCGAGAGGTACCCAGGAGACCCAAACAAGGCCTCAAGAGGCCACAAAACAGCCCCGAGGAGGTCCCACAACGGTCTCAACATGGCTACCGAGAAGCTGCGAAACTGCCTTCACGACGTCCCCGACAGGCCAACCACGAGATCCAAACCAACACCCATGAGGCCTCTGACCACCACCTAGGGCACCCTCCGCCCGCCCGCCGTCCGCGTAGCACGCACCACTCTATGCTCAACAGCTTCAGTCTCCAAGACAACACCCTGTAGTCAACAGCCCCCGTCTTCAAGGCAACACCCTGTGCTCAACAAGCTCCCGCTGCAAGAGAGCACCCTTGAGGAATTCATTCAAATCCCGACCCGCCCGCCCGCCCGCCCGCCACCCGCCCGCCCGCCGCCCGCCCGGCCGCTCGCCCGCCTTCGCGTAGCACGCGCCACCCTGCACTCAACAGCCTCCGCATCCAAGACAACACCTAGCATTCAACAGCCCCCAGGGCTCCCGGGACTGCCCGGGCCCGCTCCCAAACACGCCACGACACGCCAAGAGGGCCCTAAAGATTGCCAAGACAGCCCCAAGAGGCCCCGGACACGCTGAAGATGGCCTCAGGAAGGCCGACGACGCCGCCAAAACGTCCCAAGAGCGCCTCCAGAGGCCCCTCCAAAGGGCCCCGCATTTTTGCGCTCTCGCATGTTCCGCCTCCCCACGGTCCCCGACGGCGTCAGAGGCCCTTCAGATCGCTCCAAGACGGCCGAAGAGGCTCCCAAGGAAAGACCAGAGACGGCCCAGGAGGCTCCCCAGATAATTCAAGAGGGCCTCGAGAGCGCCCCAAGAGAGCCCCAAGAGCGACCCAAGAGGGCCCGAAGAGCGCGACATTTCAAGGTCTTCGGCCTGAGAGGCTCCTAGGACGCCCCCAGAGGCCATCAGGAGGCTCCCAAGAAGACCCGTGAGGCTCCCAAGAGTCTCCCCGGAAGCCCCAATAAGCCCCCAAGGGCCCCCCAGGGAAGCCCCCTGCGGGCCCCCAATAGACCTCGGTAAATCGTATTTCCCAGAGCGTTCCAGGAACATGATTCCTTGGGCTTCCGCCCACCGCCCCAACCATGTTTCCAATAGGCTTGCCGACAAGGCCAACAAGGGCCCCTCGGTAAGCCCCCAGAGCCCCCCCCTCTTAAGAGAGCCGAACAAATCATGCTCCCAGAAAGCTTCCCGGGAACATGATTCTCTGGTTGCCGCCCTCTCCCCAAACCATGTTTATAAACGCCTGCCAGGATTAAGAAACGAGAGTCCCAAGCAGCGCTACCTGCCGCCACGCTCGGAAACGCGTCAGGCCCCGAAGCCTCCGGAGGCGCCCAACGACACCCCAACAAATCATGTTCCCAGGAAGTCTTACGGCCAGTGCCGCCGACGTTGAAGGAGGACGGTCCAGGACACCCAGAAATCTCCCAAACAGGCTTCCAAGAGGGCGCCGAGACAGCCCAGGGCCGCCCCCAGACGGCCAACACAGACGAAAAGGGCCGCAAGAGGCCCCCAAGAGGCCCCGAAACGAGGACATATCATCCGAACACGCCCAAGATGGCCTCCGGACGGCCCACAAGGCTTCCAACATGGCCCAAAGGGACGCCAAAATCATTGCTTGTCCTTAGGTTTTTGATGGATTTCAGACACCCAATGTCGCCCCAACAGGCCCCCACGAGGGCGCCGAGACGGCCCAGGGACGCCCTGCCGCGGGCACGAGGCGGGGCCCGGGACGGGGCCCTCGCACCGGGGGGCCCGGGGGCCCTGCCGTGGCGCTGGAGGCCTTGTAAAGTCGCCCGAAGACGGCCTTGGCGTTTCCAGACAACGAAAAAGACCAATGACCGCCCGAGATCACCCCAGAATTTGTCCCTGATTGTCCGAGAGGCCTCCAAGACGCCCCAAGAGGTCTCCAAGACGGCTCCCAAGGAGCCCCAGGAGGCACAACTAATTTGTTTGCCTTTGGTTTTTGATAGATTTTCGAGTTCTCGCCTTTTGAGTTTCCTGACGCTCCACGACGCTCTAAGGCATCCCCAGAGGCCTCGAAGACGGTCACAAGACAGCCCACGGGGGTCCCAAGACGGCGCTAGAGGCGCCCAAGGCGGCCCGAGAGGGCCCCAGGACGGCCCCAAGATGGAGCCAAGAGGGTTGACACGAACCGAACATCCGAGTCTTCCACCCCGAGAGGCTCTCAGGAAGCCCCGAGAAGCCCCTAACAGGCTCCAAGAGGCCCCAAGAAGCCCCCCAGGGGGCCGAATAGTATCCAAGAGGCCTCCCACGAAGGCCCCAAGAGGCAAACATCCATGTCATGCCATAAGTTTTTGATTGATGTTCGAGCTTTCAGCCTTTTAGCGTCCTGACGCTCCAAGACGGCCCCAAAGGCCTCCAAGACCAATCCAAGATAGGGCCCAAGACAGCCCGAGAGGGCACCACTACGGCCCCAAGGGGGGCCCAAGTGGGGTAAGACGAACCGAAAATCCGAGCCTTCCACCCCGAGAGGCTCTCAGGAAGCCCCAGAGGCCCCAAAATGGGACCCAAGAGGCCCTCAAGAAGCTCCCCAGAAGGCCGAAGAGGTTCCAAGAAGCATTGTTTTCCTATCTGCTTTTGATGGATTTTCGAGTTCCCAGCCTTTTGGCATCCCGACGCTCCAAGACGGCCCAAGTGGCCCCCACGGCCGCTCCAAGATAGCCGAAGAGGCCTCCAAAAGGGCCATGAGGGCCCCAAGACAGTGCCCGAGGCGCCCAATACGGCCCGAGAGGGCCCCAAGAGGGCCCCAAGAGAGCCCCAAGAAGGGGAACGAGAACCCAACAGCAGAGCTTTCCGCCCTACGAGGCCCACAGGAGGCCCCAAGAGTCCCCAACTGGTCCGACGAGGCCCCCCACTGCCCCCCAGCAGGCCCCAAAAGACTCACAGGAGACGTACACGGGGCCCCAAGATAGCCGAAGAATGCTCTCGATGCATCAAAATTGCTTCAAGGATTCCCCAGGAGGCTTCCGGATTGCCCCAATGTGGCCTCAAGCCGGGCCTCCACGCAGCCAAGACAGCCAATTGACTGCTTCAGACTGCAGAACATCACTTTCCGACTGCCCGGAGAACCCTGACGATGCCCCCAAGGGACCCCAAGAAGCCCCAAGATGCCCCCCCGAGAAGCACCCAAGAAGTGCCTCCAACAGCCAATTGAGGAAGCACGGAGCACCCCCCAGAAGCTCTTCAGATGCCCCGACGAAGACCCAAGAGGTTCCCAAGAGGCCCTCAGGAGGCACGACTATGTCACGCGCCTGTGCTTTATAGCGCTGTCCAAGATCTTCTAGCGCGCCCCCAGCCTGGGTTAGAACCTGAGCGCGCGCGAAGCGCGCGCGATGGTTCTAGTCTCTCTCTCTCTCTATATATGTGTATGCCCTCCTCCGCCCCTCGTCCCAAGTTGAAACCTGCGGCTTTCTTCCACAACTTCTTTGAACTGTGTCCTGAGACGGCTTGTAAGATCATGGTCTGATTCTTGAGGTCCCCAGGTTCAACTTTGAAACGTCGATCCCCTGGAAGTCCAAATCACGGGGGGTCGCGATGATTGCCGAGAAAAGGGAGGTGACCTTACCCCATCGGGTCTTCGAATTAGAAAGTCTCTCCACCGTCGCGGTCCACCGCATGCGGATGAGGACATGTAAGCTCTGTTCTTGGTTCACCAAGTCGAACCAGGCTTCGAACAGCTGCATGGGGAGGTAGTGAGCAGGATTCTCCTGCTCTTGTCCTCTCGGCGAAAGGGCACAACCTGCGGTGGTACATCCATACTTTGGAACGTAGCCGAACCCTTTGACCAGGCTCCCTCTAGTCTAAGCTTAGAGAGAGCTATGCCTTGGCCTTGGTGTCCCCCGAAAAGTTGCGGTTTGGCTCCCGTAGAAACCAACCTACGAGTCTTCTTAGTGCTTTTGGTGAGCTTCGAGATGTGGCGGAGCCGCTTGAGCCCCTTCTTCATGCGAGCCTTTTTGGTGGAAAGTCGCCTCCGACGCCCAAGAGTAGTGCTTAATCCCAGATCACGACCCACATGTAGTGCACGGAATTGGTGATCTTTATGTTGGGAGTCTTCTGAGGATACCCTTGCTGAGGTTCCCGTCGGAGGATATAACATAACAAATGATGCCGGTGAAAGTCGGCATCCCCGCTGTTGAAGAGCCGTGGCCAAGAAGTGGATGGCCTCTGGAACCTGCTGGGTGAGCACCTCGATGGAGCCCCATGACCGTAGTCGAAGGTCGTCAACCCACGTCCTAAACGTAAAGACTGGTGGAGGGTATCGTCTGTGCATGCCCTCCAAGAGATCGTAGAAAGAGCCCCTGGCAAAGGACGTCGACCTCCTCCTCCTTCTCCTCCTCCTCCTCCTCCTCCTCCTCCTATCCCCCTGCCTCATCCTTCTCTCTCTCTCTCTTTTTCATTCCCCTTGTCTTTTCATGGCCCTTCCACCGCGCGCGAATTCGAGCCCCTCCCCGCGCAGGGGGCGTGGTGGTGGACAGCGCCTCTGTGCGCCCTCGGGCTCCTGGGGAGGACTACGATCCCGACAAGGACTACAGCTCGCCTTCGGGGGGCGCCTGGGGGACTTTGCGGTTGCGGCCGCGGCAGAAGATGAGGATGAAGAATCTGAGGAGGAGGATGAACAAGAGTAGGATGATAATGATGATGATGATGATGATGCTGATGATGATGATGCTGATGATGATGATGATGATGATGATGATGATGATGATGATGATGTTGATGACGATGACGATGACGATGACGATGACGAGGACGATGATGATGATGCTGATTATGATGAAGATGATGAGGAGGAGGAGGAGGATGATGAGGAGGATGAGGCACTCTTCGCTCGTGTGTCGTTATGTGAGAGTTGCAGGCTCGCAGGAGGAGGAGGCACAGGGAGGGACAAGGAACACGAGGAAGGGGAGGAGGATGAGGAGGAGACGCTGTAGGAACACGCTGATGATGATGCTGATGATGATGCTGATGCTGATGCTGCTGATGATGATGCTGATGATGATGATGCTGATGATGTATGCTGATGATTATGATGCTGCTGCTGCTGATGCTGTTGATGATCATGATGAGAATGATGATGATGATGATGATGATGATGATGATGATGATGATGATGAGGAGGAGGAGGAGGAGGAGGAGGAGGAGGAGGAGGAGGAACAGGAGGAGAAGGAGGAGGAGGAGGAGCGGGATGGAGGAGTACGAGGATCATGGTGCACAGGTGCTGCTTCCACCTTACTGCCATACGTACATGTTCCTGTCCTATATCCCGCGTGCGTGAGTCGATGCCATGCCTTCTCACTGCGGGCAGCGTTCCCTTGAAAGACGATCGCTCCGTGGGCCTGCCATTCAGGCGAGAGCCACGTTTCGAAAAGGGGCCGCTCGCTTCTGATTGTTTCGCTTCGCGCATAGAGGATCACAGGGGGTGACATCATACGGTATATGGAAGTATGGCAGTGTCAGAAGAGAGCTTTGATGTGAGAAGGATGCGTTCTCCATCCGTGGTTCTCAATGCCACTACATGTCTGGTCAGCGGGCGCGAGGAGTTCTCAGCGATAACATCATGATGAAAGTCAGACCCCTCCACCTGCCTGCCAATTCTACAGTACCCATTCGCAAATTGAGAGACACCGTGACGAGAGCACTCATTCTTGAACGGAAGTGCCCTTCATGCGTGTATGAGTTGGGCACTGGCGAACGTGCACGGTGCTAAGGCGACAGCCACGTTTTGAAAGCCACCCGCACTCCATCCGTATATTTCGTGTATTTGTGGGGCGTTTTTGCGACGAATGTGCGCGGCGTGACGGCGAGAGCTTGAAAACCATCTGCGCTCCATCCGTGTAACTGGCTGAAGCTTTTTATACGAATGTACGCGGCGCCACGGCAAGAGCTTCACTTGAACACAAGCCGCCCTACATCAGTTCAGTTGCTGGAGACAAAGAAAGAAACTCCAGGATCTGGAGTGGAGAGGACGTCTCACGCGAAGCGCCCTCTCTGCCCAAGCGACATGTTTCGTGGTGCGATGAGGAGGAGCAGTTCATCACGAAAGAGGGGAGACCCGCCAGCCTCACGCATAGACGCCTGGCCAGGTAGATGCCCGAGCTGGCCTGCGAGCTCCAGAGAGTGGAGTGCGGCATTGCGCAGTGCCACGCGCTCAGCTACCACTGGCCTGGTGGCCGATTCTGGTGAAGACGTGGCTGATGGCGTGACCCACTTGCCACCGAATGCAGGCATGCGATAGGGACCGGCTCTGTCCATGCTGGTGACCCGTTGTGCCGCTGGAGCGGGAAGTGGAGCACGACCACGTGGTCCACCTTCTCTTCCTGCCCGTGCGCCGACTGTGTAATTTGCAGGGCGATCCCGCGGCGCCCGGATTTCGAAGGCTCCCACCTCGCGGCGAGTCTGTGGCAGCAGGTTCGTCTGTTGGTAATCTAGTACAAGTTTTGGTGGCTCCTCAAGCAGCAAGGTGGGTGTCAGACGACCCAGCGGCGCCGGAACACCTCGGTGCCAGGAGGCTTGGGAGCCCAACTGGCGCCGCAGGCGAGGCGGGACGCCGCGCGGCGGCGCCGGTGGCTGCGCATCCGGTGTGTGTGTGTGTATGTGTGTGTGTGTGTGTGTGTTTGTGTGTAGAGGGTCCGGCCGCGCGCGCTAGTTCGGTGCCGACTGCTCGACTGCAGCGTTGGCATACCGACCGTGCCCCACGGGACGCCGCGCAACTCGCTCCCTGGAGGCGAGGCGCTGGTGCATTTGAGCCACGCATCCCCGAGGTGCATCACATCGGCCGCGAGCTGTTCCGCACCGCCAAGGCACTCGCGGGCGTCAGTGATGTCAACGACATCTGGCGCGAGGCCCCGCGTGAGGTCGAAGGCGTCCTTTGGCGCAGCCGCGCGGATATCTGGGGGACCGCCCCCGAGATGCCGCCGCTGCCCGCCTTGCCCACCACTCTTTCGACGGCCGGCCAGCCCTGGACCTCCCAGAGGCGCCCACCCCATGATGGGCCCGACTTGTGGCTCTGGTCTTGGGCTCCTGCAGGAGCGCTCTGGGCGGCTACGGCCAGCCCTACGAGGAATACAGTATGACATGCCTATACATTTATGCATGTGTATATGTATGCATGCATGCATACATACACACATGCGTACATACATGTATGTATGCATGCATGTATGTATGTATGCAGCTATGTATGTAACTGTGTATGCATATATGCATGTATGCATGTAGGCACACATGTAGGAATGCAAGCATGCATGCATGTATGTATCAATATATGAAGATATGGCTGTAAGCATGTATGCATGTATGTATCTTTGTAACTGAGTGTGTCTTCATGCACGCATGCATACACACATGTGTGCATGCACGCATACACGTATGTCGGTATGTCAGTCTGTCTGTCTGTCTGTGTGTCTGTCTGTCTGTCTGTCTGTCTGTCTGTATGTATGTATGTATGTATGTATGTCTGCATATGTACAGATGTATACATGCACGTATGCATGCATGCACGCATGCATGACCGCAAGTACGCGAGTAACAACGTATGTACGCATGCATGAATGTATGTGTGTACATGTATGAATGTATGTGTGCATATGTGAAAGAGCGTGTTCTACCGCTGCTGGCGGAAAACCGGGGGGGGTCACTACCGGTTCGAACCCCTCCCCCCCCCCCCCCCCCCCCCGGAAAACCGGGGGGGGTCACTACCGGTTCGAACCCCTCCCCCCCCCCCCAGCTCATCATGAAAAGGGGGGGGGTCACTACCGGTTCGAAACCCCCCCCCCCCCCCTCGAAAACCGAGTGGGGGTGCGGACAGTGGTGGGGACGGTGTTGGTGGGGACAGTGGTGAGGGGACAGCGGGACAGTGGTGGGGACAGTGGGGGGACAGTGGGACAGTGGTGGGGACGGTAGTGGTGGGGACAGTGGTGGGGACAATGGTGGGAACAGGGGGGACAGTGGACAGTGGTGGGAACGGTGGTGGTGGGGACAGTGGTGTGGGGACAGTGGGAATGAGGTGGAAACACTGGGACAGTGGAGGGTACAATGGTGGTGGAGACACTGGTAAAGGCGGTGGCGAGGACGGCGGTGGGACAATGGGACAGAGGTACAGTGGGGACAGTGGTGGGGACAGTGGGGACAGTGGTGGAAACAGTGGGACAGCTCAGTGGGACAGCGGAGGAGTCAGTGGGACAGTGGGGACAATGGGGATAGGCAGTGGTTGGGTCCGTGGAGACAGTGGGGAGAGTGGAACCGTGGTGGGAATAGTTGTGGGAACAGTGGGGACAGTGCGACAGTGGTGGGGGCATTGGTGGGGACAATAGGGACGGTGGTGGAACCAGTGGGGACAGTGGTGGTGAGGACAGTGGAACAACAGTGGGGGATGTGATGCGAGCGGTGGTAGGGACCGGGAGTCGTTTGCTGGCGGTGCGTGGGGGGGGGGTCGAACCGGTAGTGACGCCCCTCCGGTTTTCGAGGGGGGGGGGGGTTCCAACCGGTAGTGACCCCCCCCGGTTTTCCGGATCCGGAGGGGGGGGGGGTGGGGGTTCGAACCGGTAGTGACCCCCCCCCGGTTTTCGAGGGGGAGGGGGGGGGGGAGGGGTTGGGGAGGGGGAGGGGAGGGGGGGGGGGCAGGGGGGGGGGATTTTCGGAGGGGGGGGGGGAGACCCCCGGGTTCCGGAGGAAAAGGTTGGCAATTTTCCATAGTAAAGCGGCGGTGGATCACGCTCTCTCGTATATGTGTATGTGTGTATGCACACATGTATGTACATATGCATGAATGTCCCCATACATGTAGTAAGCCCGTACGTATATGTTTATGTATGTATGTACGTATACATGCATGTACGTATGTATGTATGTATTTACCATCATGCATGTATGCATGTATATCTGCATGCATACATGCATACATGTCTGTATGTATGCATGTATGAATGTATGAATGTATGAATGTATGAACATATACATTTATATGTGTATATATATATATATATGTGTGTGTGTGTGTGTGTGTGCGGCGGCGGGCGGCGGCGGCGGGGAGCGTCGACGAGGACGACGGTGGTGGTGGTGGAGGTGGTGGTGGTTTGTGGTGGTGGTGGTGGTGGCGGTGGTG